ACACACACACACACACACACACACACACTTTGATAAAAATGCTTTTCACAGCCCTATTCACTCTTACATATGTTATTTACTGGCTCAGTAAAAACATCAGTAGACGATGGTGACTAGCTCTATGAAATAGGAAGTAACAGAAAACCACTTTGATGTCCAGAGTTTAATTATCTGAATCAAACATCGGAGTTAAAATTGAAAATCCAGTCTGTGTGACGTCCTGCTGCCTCCACCATCACACTGTGAACAACAGTGAAAGACACAAAGGGAAGCATTTTATTTTTATTAAAAATATTCACCCTGAATTATGAAAGTAGATGGATGGAGAAGCTTCTTTATAAATCTGTAGTCACTTCAGCATCATTGAATAAGTAGAACCACAAACTGCTGTTAATGTTAAACAGCTGTGATTAGACGTGAATTCAGGACTGTGTAGTTGTTGTTGTTGGGAGGGGCTTGTGTGTTACCTGGCGGCAGGTACTGGCAGTAGCCTGTGGAGTTGACCAGGATGTTGGTGTGGAATGAAGCATCGAACCTTTCATCAGCGCTGTGGGCAGAGACAGATCACAGTCAGGGTCCATCAGCAGCCATGAGCGTTGAGCAAATCATAGTTTCACCAAGATGACAGCCGAACGCGCACACACGTGTTCTGCACATGTGCAGCCTCGGACACACAGACTGTGTATTTATACCTCTGACCTTCATTAGAAGCTCTTCACTGAAACACAAACCACATCTCCATTGAATAAAATTAATATTTCAATAATGTCCACTAATTCTTACAGACGTCGTCAGGGTTCATTTTACCTGCAGTGATGCTTATGAGCCGAAAAATATTATTATTAAATGACTTTATTGCTTCAGAACTTTCTCCTTTTTAATGTTTTGTTTACAAAAAATCCTCTTGTTAAATGTCCTTCCTGTCACTCTGTGTTCATCAGAGCTCAGCCCATGAGGAGCTCAGACTCTGGGAAGAAGCTCCAAACATGTCAGCTGTTCCTCGTCGGCGAGAGAAGCTCGCCGGGACGGCTCTGACGGCTGAAGAGAGAAATCTTTCAGGGCCTTCTGTGGAGGTTTTATTGTTGGAACTAATTGGAAGGAGAGCCCAGAGCAGACATAGAACATGCTGCTAGAATAAACCAATCAACCACAACAATAAAACCACCTGCCTAAATTGTGTAGGTCCTGCTCATAACCCAAAACACTCCTGACCCACAGGGGCATGGACGTGGGCCTCGTGGACTGTCCAGTCTTTCAGGAACAGTTGAACACAAGTCGGGGCGTGGAGCCGGCTTGGATCAGGCTTGTCCAATATCCGGTCTGTAAGTCTGGCGTCATTAGCCATTTCCAGGCCCAAACTCCGCTTCAGGTCCCAAAGCCAATCGATCACTGCGGCGTCACTGAGAGTTACAAACTTTTACATCTTTAATAAAATGATCAGCGTT